GGAAGGTTGAGAACCACTGGTCTTATCTCTTCTTAAAAGCCTCCAGTGTTGGAGCATTCACAAGTCCTGGAGGCAGGTTGTTCCACTGATTAATTGTTCTAAGGAAATTTCTTCTTAGTTCTAAAGTTGCTTCTCTCCTTGGTTAGTTTCCACCCGTTGCTTCTTGTCCTGCCCTCAGGGGCTTTGGAGAATAGTTTGACTCCCTCTTCTTTGTGACAGCCCTGAGATATCGGAAGACTGCTATCATGTCTCCCCTGGTCCTTCTTTTCATCAAACTAGACATACCCAGTTCCTGCAACTGTTCTTCATATGTTTTATCCTCCAGTCCCCTAATCATCTTTGTTGCTCTTCTCTGCACTCTTTCCAGAGTCTCCACATCTTTTTTACATCGTGGCGACCAAAACTGAATGCAGGATTCCAAGTGTGGCCTTACCAAGGCATAATAAAGTGGTAAATACGCTCTTGTGATACGTATACATTAACCAAACAATTCATATATTTTACAAGGTTAAGATTACCAGCAAGAAAACCCCAAACCCAATCAACGTGCTTTGAAAAAACAAAGCCTAATTTATTTCTGATTCAATCCATGGTTTATCGCAAGCGTGATCAGCGAGGACGGAGTGATATAATAAATTCTCTCTCTTAAAATAACAGTTACGTATGTATTTTTAGACACACGAGGCTTTGGAAGGTTAGGTTGTTATTTGTTTACGGTCCAGATTTAGAAAATAGGATTGACTTGTATTCTCTGCGGAGCTGAAAATCGCGGCTGGTAAGAACATAACCAGCCTAAAGTAGCTGGTAAGAGCTTAAGAGTAATCTCCTTTTGCTGTAATATTATAAACTGATTTGGGGCAGCCATCATCCTGTTTCGGAAGCGCTTCACTGCATAGGTGGGCTGCAATTTGAGAACAAACTCAAGTCCACTTACGCAAAGGTTTGTTTGTTGTGAAGTTGTTTTGAATTGCAAGCTTTTCTGGAGGCCTTTGCAGGGCCTGCAATCCACTGATATTAAATTTAATTTGTTTTTACCTAGAGTACAGGTAGTCCTCAACTTACGGCCACCATTGAATCCAAAACTTGGCAGTTGCTAAGCAAGGCGGTTGTTAAGCGAGCTTTGTCCCATTTTACGACCTTTCTTACCACGGTTAGTAAGTGAATTGCTGCAGTTGTTGTTAAGTAACACCGTTGTTAAGTGAGCCTGGCTCCCCCATGGACTCTGCTTGTCAGAAGGACGCAAAATGGGATCACATGACCCTGGGACACTGCAAACGGACCACTGGGAAGCTAAGATGCTCCAGAGAGCAGGCAGAGATTAGATAGATAGATGGATAGATAGGTAGATAGGTAGGTAGATCGATCGATCGATCGATGACAGATGAAATAGATCAGGGGTGTCAAACTCACACCACGTGCTGGCCCCACCCCTGCCCGGTTTAACGAAGGGGGGGGGAATCCCGATATGTAATGTGATGCCGCCGTGACACCACGAGTTTGACACCCCTGAAATAGATGATAGAGATAAATGACAGATGAAAGATAGACAGGCATCAGGGGTGGGTTCTAATTTTTTTTACTACCGGTTCTGTGGGCGTGGCTTATTTTGTGGGCATGGCTTGATGGTCATGTGACAATTCTTTAGGATTTAGCAGAGGTACTAGTCTACCAGGCTTTTAACTGCTTGCAGAGCTGTACCAGTCTACTCATTTGTTTTTGGAGGCCCCAGTCTACTTTATCTTTATCTTTATCTTTATTTGATTTGTATACCGCCCTACTCCCGAAGGACTCAGAGCGGTGAACAGCCAAACAGTAAAATACAGAAATACAAAATTTAAAAACAGGATAAAATCAAATTAAACAATTTGGCCCAGACAAATTAAAACACCCCAATCATTTAAAAAACAGATTAAAATTTGCATATTAAAAGAAGAGGGAAAAGATTAGGCCAAAAACTCATTCGTTTTTGGAGGCACCGGTCTACTACTACACTGCCTTTTAACAATAATCAGCTGTAGGGCGGCCCTTTGAAGCCCTGCGGCAAGAATTTAAACAGTTTTTTTTCCTTCTAGCTGATCAGCTGGGACTCGGGAGACAGCAATAGATTGGGGGTGGGGCCAAATAAAAAGTAAGAATAATGTGGGGGGGGCGGAGGATCCAGCTCCCAAACAAAGAGAACCGGTTCGGTGATTCATATCATCACTGCTACCAGCTCGGCCGAACCGGGCCGAACCATGAGGAACCCACCACTGATAGACATAGAGATAGATGTACACGCAATAGATGAAAGATAGAGATGTTAGAAATAAATGACAGATAAAAGATAGATGATAATGAGATAGATGAAATACGATGATAGTGATCTGTCCCCGTCTCCACACACACACAAACACAGCCAGCCGAGGGTTAAGAAAGCACTTGGCACGCACACAGGTCGTTATCTCAAACTTGGCAACAATATAAGCACCGTCTGCCAAGAGCTTTACTTCAACAGATAACATAAAATTACATACGCATTGTAAATAGTCCAGCAAAACAATATCCCTTCGGCAGCTTCAGACGTTGTTCAAGTGACTAGCCAGAGTTAGTTTTTGTTCGTCACAGAGTTTTACCAGCCACCACCCTCTCTTATATAGTCTCTGGGGTGTGGTCCAGTGACTCAGTTATAATCCCTAGCACGCCTCCTTAACTGCTGCAACCGTTTATCACGCCTTCATTGGCGTGCATCCAGGAACAATGGCTCTCCTTCCTCGCCCTCATCAGAGACACCTGGCTCCTGGCCAATCTCCCCTTCCTCGGCCGGCACCTGAGGCAGTGCCAGAGGGGAGGGGCCTGGAGAGGGAGGCCTGGCTGACTCCTCTCCCTCATGTTCGGAGCCTTCTTCCTCCGATGAGATAGGCTCAGAGGGAGGGGCCACAACAGATAGAGATAAATGACAGATGAAAGATGACATAGACCAGTGATGGCGAACCTTTTCGGCACCGAGTGCCCAAACCGGAACGTACATGCATGCATGTGTGCGCACGCGCTAGAGCGCCAGAAACCCAGACCAGCTGGCTAGCACGTCCATGCCTGTTTTTTGGCCATTTGTTGGGTCCAAAAACAGCCTAGAAATAGCCCAAAAAACAGCCCTGAAAATGGCCCGAAAAAAGGCCTGAAAATGCCCCGGAAAACTGACTGGTTTTAGGCCATTTTCCAGAGCTCTGGCACCCATGAAGACCAGCTGGCTGGAATGCTGGAAACCAGAATAGCAGCTGGCGATGGCATGCGTGCCCACAGAGACGGCTCTGTGTGCCACCTCTGGCACGCGTGCCATAGGTTTGCCATAATGTACATAGATGGTAGAGATAAATTGCAAAAATAAATAGATAAGAGGATTGATAAGATGATAATGACAGATAGGTATGATAGATAGATGTGGCTGATAGATGATAGATTAGATAAGACAGAGAGATAGACGGACAGACAGAATTAGATAGGAAGAAGCAGAGGAGATAGTGGAAAATGATCAAGTAAGATAGGGCGTCCTTACACAGAATCTAGCCTGTCAAATATATATTTTTTTTAATTGAAGGCATTTCACACTATGTTCAAGAGTAAAAGCCTACGAAGTGATACACAGAACAAGTGAAAAAGAAGATACAATTACAGTAACGGCATCAGAAATAGACATCTGGAAATTACACGATGCCTCTGCTTCTGTTCTGCCAATTCCATATGGAATCATCAAAGCTAATGCTGCAGAAAAACCTGTGAAGCTAATTTAAGAGGAGTAAGTTGATTTGAGTCTACGTTCCATGTCGCCTGGTTTTTGCACCCTGGCAACTATTCATTTTAACAGAATAACAAGAGTTGGAAGGGATCTTGTAGATCATCTAGTCCAACCCCCCCGCCACCCAAGCAGGAGACCCTCCACCATTTTTGACTGATGGCAGTCCAGTCTCTTCTTGGAAGCCTCCAGTGATGAAGCTCCCACAACTTCCGAAGGCAACTTCTGTTCCATGGGTTGATTGTTCTCACTGTCAGAAAATTTCTCCTCATTTCCAAGTTGAATCTCTCCTTGTTCAGTTTCCATCCATTATTCCTTGTCTGGCCTTCAGGTGCTTTGGAAATGGAATTTTTTGGGGGAAATTTTTTAACAATGATTGTTCTAAAAGGAATCCAGAGATAATTCTTAGCACTAGTGGATTATGTAACAGAATAACAGACTTGGAAGGGACCTTGGAGGTCTTCTAGTCCAACCCCCTGCTCAGTGAGTTAACCCTATTCCATTTCAGACAAATGATTATCTAGTCTCTTCTTGAAAACCCCCACTGTTGGAGCATCCACAAGTTCTAGAGGCAAGTCATTCTACTGATTAATTGTTCTAAGTGTCAGGAAATTTCTCCTTAGTTCTAGGTTGCTTCTGTCCTTGATATATTACTGTATATCAAGCAGTGGTGGGTTCCTCCCGGTTCGGCCTGGTTCTGCCGAGCTGGTAGCGGTGACAATATGACATCACCGAACCAGTTCTGCCCCCCCGCCACCCACCCTCCCCCACCCTCTGTATTATTCTTACCTTTTATTTGGTCCCACCCCCAATCTATTGCTGCCGCCTGAGTCCCAGCTGATGGCTAGAGGGAAAAAAACTGTTTAAACTCTTGCCGCGGGGCTTCAAAGGGCCGCCCTACAGCTGATCGGTGTTAAAAGAAAACAAATGAGTAGACCAGTGCCTGCACAAATACATGAGTAGATCAGTGCCTGCAAAAATAAATGGGTACACCGCTACAGCTCTGCAAGCAGTTAAAAGCCTGGTAGACCAGTACCTCTGCTAAATCCTAAAGAATTGTCACATGGTCAAGTCACGCCCACAAAATAAGCCACGCCCACAGAAGCGGTAGTAAAAAAATTTAGAACCCACCCCTGATATCAATCAACAAGTGGAATTGTTAAATTTTATGAAGCAATAAGCAACTATGTTATTTATGGTTAGACTTTTGGGGAAAACGAACAAGATTTAATTCTTTTTTTAAAAAAAAAAATGCAGATTTTTTATTCCACCAATTTCCAAAGTCTCATAGTTCTTTACAGTAAAAAACATCAACCAAAATAAAATACAGAGGTGCATATCGGTATACAAAATTATCAACAATTACAATCTAATTCAAAACATCTGCACGTTTAAGGCTTTCAAAAATGCTAAGAAGCAGGTAGCCTTCTCAACAAAGCAGAAGGTTCTTCCTGAAGACCTTTTTTAGGTGTGTGGCACATACAAAAAGCTGGGAGACTTCACTTACTTGATTCCATTTACCATCCTGATTTTTAAAACCAGGGATGTCCACCAGTCCCTGCAACTTTTAAGACTTGTGGACTTCAACTCCCAGAATTCCCCAGCCAGAATGGAATTCTGGGAGTTGAAGTCCACAAGTCTTCAAAGTAGCCAACCAAAAGTAGACATCCGCGTGGATGTCCTTAGAAAACTATGGATCCTAGCTTGCTGGCACAATGAATGTGGGAGTCAACTTTGGGAGACACCTCAGTGGAATGGGAGTGAAATCCAGGAAGAATTATAGAGTTCTTTGCCATTCTCTCCTCACTTCTATATGGTGAGAACCTCAATTCTTGCAGGAAAAGCCCTGCATTTCCATGAATTTCCATGAGGAAATTCTGCCCTGCACTGCAAGGGCACCATTTTGAAACCGAGAATAAATGACTGTTCTACGTGACAGGAACCCAAGGGGAAGTAGTCACTAATGGGTGTAGTAATGGCCAGTCCCCCTTCCAAGGTTAGCTATAAGCTGTTGTTGGAAAAAGGAAGGAGAAAAATTTCACTTAAATATTTCTGGGTCATTGTCCACGTTTCACAAATCAGCAAGACTCGGTTTCTTCTCAAGATGTCACCTTGGGGATTGTCAGCGTCCCCACAACCTAATTCCTCCTTTGGTTACCTGGAAGTAAAGTCACATGAGAAGAACTTGCATGATGGCTCTTACCAAGCTCACACCATCCCATTTCCGTGTCTTCTTCGGTTTGGTCTTGCACAATGCAGGACAATGTTTCTAGCCAACGTTCAATCTTGAAACTCATGAGCATCAGAAGAGGTCTTGCAATTGATGTCCTTATCTATTGAGATCTTTATTTAATGGGATCTGAAGGTTTCATACAACATGGACCTCACTGGGTAACCAATATTTCCACACGTACACTTCGATCTACACATTCTTTAAGGTTACCTGTTGTTGGTGTGCCTTTCTGTTATTGGATGGCTTCCTCGCTCTTCGTTTATACCTTCTCTGTACTTTCAGCCCTTCAATAAATTCAGGATTCAATTAATTTTTTTTTCTAGTTATCACAACCCCAAAACCTTCCCTTGCTTATATTTAAATGACGAGGTATTATTTAAGATGGCTTTGTTCTAATGCTGAGGTGGAGAACCATAGTCCCTTGTATGACATGTGGGACTTCAACTCCCAGAATTCCTGAGCCACCATTTCTGAGGGCTGGCTCAGGAATTCTGGGAGTTGAAGTCCACCAGTCATCCAAGAACCATTGTTCCCCACCCCTGTTCTAATGTTTCAGAAGCCTTCCTTCAATTCCTCCATTGTTTTATTTATTTATTTTATTTATTTATTTATTTTTAAATTTGTATACCGCCCTTCTCCCTGAGGACTCAGGGTGGTGAAGAGCCAAATAAAAACATAAACTACAAACATTAAAATACAATTAAAAAGATATATATAAATTTGGCCCCATGATTAAAAACAATAACAAACAATTAAAAACATTTAAAAAAGTGTTAGGCCAGCCCGCTGGAAAAAGCGGGTTGCTGGAAAAAGAAGGTTTTAAGGGCATGGCGGAAGGCACTGAGGTCTTGGATTCTCCTTATCTCTGGGGGCAGCTGATTCCAGAGGGTAGGTGCCCCCACAGAGAAGGCCCTCCCCCTGGGGGTCACCAGCCTACAATGTTTGGCTAATGGCACCCCGAGGAGGCCCTCTCTGTGGGAGCGCACAGGTCGATTGGAGGCCGTCGGTAGCAGCAGGCGGTCTCGAAGATAACTAGGTCCTATGCCATGGAGCGCTTTAAAGGTGATAACCAACACCTTGAAGCGCACCTGGAAGACCACCGGGAGCCAGTGCAGTTCACGCAGGAGAGATGTTGTATGGGAGCGCCATGCGGCTCCCGTGACTACCCGCGCGGCCGCATTCTGGACCAGTTGGAGCCTCTGGGTGCTCTTCAAGGGGAGCCCCATGTAGAGAGCGTTGCAGTAGTCCAGGCGGGAGGTGACGAAGGCATGAGTGACTGTGCACAAGGAATCCCGATCAAGAAAGGGCCACAACTGGCGGATCAGGCGAACCTGACCAAAAGTCCCCCTGGCAACAGCCGTCAGATGTTCCTCCAAGGACAGCTGCGTATCCTGGAGGACTCCCAGATTGCGAGCCCTCTCCGAGGGGGCCAAAGACTCGCCCCCAATAGTCAGCGATGGAGTCAACTGACTATATCGGGATGCCGGGAACCACAGCCACTCAGTCTTGGAAGGGTTGAGCTTGAGCCTGTGTCTCCCCATCCAGATCCGCACAGCCTCCAGGCACTGGGACATCACTTCAAGGGCATCGTTGGGGTGGCCTGTTGTCATTTGTTTCACAAAGAGGCAAACGAAAAACGATGAAACTCGTGGGTCAATATCTAAAACGCCACCATCATTTATTTGACAAGGATTCAGAAGACAAATGTTTGTCCCAAAGATTGGGGAAAAAAAGGAAGATGTCTAACCCAGTTTGGGAGAAAGAAATTTAAAAAAAGACCCCTAACATTTTGTGTAAAAATTATACCACATACAGTAGTTAATAAGCTATTATAAAATTGCAACTAATGGATTTAGAAGTTTGTATGATACGTTCCTTACAAAGTGTTCTATTTAGAAGAAATGTATGACATGATGGACATTACTGGTGGAACTAATGGATATGGGGTGGCATTACTTGTTATAAAATTAATTTCTAATGGTCTCATCGGTCTTGATATGACACAAATTTTGGCCCTCACTTAAAAGCTCTCAGACTTACATCTTTAATTAAATGTGCTTCAGTGCCCGAGACCTGATTTGGCTCCCAAAAATATTTTAAGGATGCATTTATATTTGACACAAATCAAATCATTATGCAGAAAACAATAAAGTCCTGGTGAAGAACCGTAGCACCGATTCATGCTGTATATTTTCCTAGCAAAATAATGCCTGCAGACGTCTTCATAATAAAAATATGTTGGTGATAGGCTCATGAAATGATATTTAATTCTTTCTACAGGCTTATGCTGTTAATATTCAGCTTTGCCCGTTTTGATGGTGAATGATGGCATATAAAAGTGCATAATTGTTTGCTGTAAAAAAGCTACTTGGGTTTAGCTTTCCTAGTTCATGATAGGCACACTGTGAAGTTCACGTGATTGTTTAAAGGATTGGGGATGGGAACATGTTTGCTGATAGCTACTAAACTAACTCCAGAATGGATCTCTTTGCAGGCATTGTGTTATGTTGAACAAACTACACTCATATAACCTGACAATTTTCACCTTACCTCAAGAAAACAAAGTAGTGAGTCAAATAGGCTCTGTTATATTTATCTGGAAATGATCTCACTGACCAGAGAAACCTGATTCCTGATTCCTTTTGCAATTAGGCTGGTGAGACATAATAATAAAACAAGGGTGGGACGATCAGCTTGCAGCAGAAGAGACCAAAACCCAAGTGGTTTCTCCTGTCCTTCTGTAAAGATCTCCTAAAATTACACCAGTTGTTGTCCACCATAGGTTGGATATATTGCTGAAAGGAATGGTTCAGACTCTTTTAGGAGAAGGACAGGCAGAGACAGGGAGTGGAGTCAAGAGAGGAATCAGCCTGGAATCCTTACGTTCCCAAAAATGGCTTCCAGGCTAGTTCAGGGGTCGGCAATCTGCAGCTCTGGAGCCGCATGTGGCTCTTTCATCTCTCTGCTGCAGCTCCCTGTCGCCGGTCGGCTCCACAATTGATAGGGCTTTCGGTTAGGACAGGTAGAGGGAAAAGGACGCTGCTCTAGGAGATGACTCTATGGTGGGGGAACCGGACTTCCAGTCAGCAGAAGAAAAAGGACGCCATGCTAGGAGGAGACTCTATGGTGGGGTGGGAGTACCGGACTTCCGATCGGCAGAGGAAAAAGGACGCCGCGCTAGGAGACTCTGTGGTGGGGGAACCGGATTTCCGGTCGGCAGAGGAAAAAGGACGCCGCGCTAGGAGGAGACTCTATGATGGGGGAACTGGACTTCCAGTCGGCTCCAGAATTGGGCGGGGAGCTTCCGGTTAGGACCTTTGTGGCTATTTGAGTCTTTAAGGCTGCCAACCCCTGGTGCTAATTCCTCTCTTGACTCTGCCCCATCTCTGCCTGCCCTTTTCCTACATCTCCTCCTGTCTTGTCTGCCATGTTCTGTAATAAGAATGGATCCCAATCCGTCATTGGTTGGAAACACCTGTCATCTCAGTGGATGCTCTCGTTTCACTTGTCAACACTCGTAGAGACAGGAACATGGTTGAGGGCACATCACATCTTCCTATCTTCCGGAATGTTGCAGAAGTGAACGGGAGGAGAGATGGGACATTTTGGGACAGCGTTGGTCAATCTCCATTCCGAGCCAACTTTTTCCATGAAGGCAGGCATCCCTGAAGTATGAGTGTCCCTCCAGTTTTCCCGAAACATGGATTCTCTGAAACCCGTTCCTGACCTGAACTAGAAACAGTGATCCTATTTTTTTCCTCAAGCCTGATTTTTTTTACTGGTTAAGTGAACTGACTGCAAGACACACCTTTGCTTTGTGATCCAGCAAACTGGTTTTCCTTTCCCTTTTCCTCCCGCATGGTTTCTTCAATGCCAACCTTATGCCCAGCTTCCTCAATGGCACTTTTGTTATTGCGGCTGTTCTCCGTGATCCCCCACCACTCTGGGCCCACTCCTGCTTCAACTTTAAACCTGGAGGTGGCATCTCCCGGCTTTTGAGCGTTGGGTGGACAAGATTCTTCCACCAGAACGGTGTTTGCGGTTTCAAAGGAAGTCAAAGTACTATCGTAATTGTGAATCAAGCCTTCGTTCTTCTCTTCTACCACCTCTTCATCATCATATAGTTCAGGCGTAAAACAGAGCCTGTCATCTCCAGCATCAGTTTTGACACCTGGATCTGACCTGGATAATTCCACATTTGCTCTCCTTGGAGAAGACACCGCTTTCTCCAAGTCTTTATGTCCAGTGTGCTGCCTTTCGTGGGGACATTTCTCAGTCATCAAGATAATCTCTGTTCTTGGAGAAGCATTAATCGTTTCGTCATCTGGCAACTGTCTTATTGGTTGGTCTTCTTCAACCCACGAAATATTCTGCTGGGGTCCATGTGCAACAGAGTGACCGTCTTCCTCCGCTGCTTTTTCTGTTGGCCCGGTAGCCTTGAAGACGTAATTCTTCTTTACTGCTGGTGTTGAATTCAGCATTTTAATGAAGTAACTTTCTATGTTGCTGGCAGAGAAACGACCGTTTGCTCTCTTCCTCCTGTTTTCAGCAGGTGAACCCATGGGGCTGGTGGAGTCTGTAAATTTATTTTGCTTTATGGAGAAAGGTGAATCTGGGGAGGAAGAACAGATAATAATAAGAGACAGAAGGAGAGATTATTAATTCTTGTCATTAGCATAACCATCAGGAGTCAGTATTTGGTGTTTAGGATAGGATAGGATAGGATAGGATAGGATAGGATAGGACAGGACAGGACAGGACAGGACAGAACAACAGAGTTGGAAGGGACCTTGGAGGTCTTCTAGTCCAACCTCCTGCTTAGGCAGGAAACACTACACCACTTCAGACAAATGGTTATCTAATCTCTTCTTAAAAGTCTCCAGTGTTGGAGCATTCACAAGTCCTGGAGGCAGGTTGTTCCACTGGTTAATTGTTCTAAGGAAATTTCTTCTTAGTTCTAAGTTGCTTCTCTCCTTGATTAGTTTCCACCCACTGCTTCTTGTCCTGCCTTCAGGGGCTTTGGAGAATAGCTTGACTCCCTCTTCTTTGGGGCAGCCCCTGAGATATTGGAACACTGCTATCATGTCTCTCCTAGTCCTTCTTTTCATCAAACTAGACATGCCCAGTTCCTGCAACCGTTCTTCGTATGTTTTAGCCTCCAATCCTCCAATCATCTTTGTTGCTCTTCTCTGCACTCTAGTTTCTAGAGTCTCCACATCTTTTGTACATTGTGGCGACCAAAACCGAATGCGGGATTCCAAGTGTGGCCTTACCAAGAATAATTGATTAAATAATAGAATTATATCCCACCCTTATTTATTTTTTTAAACTTTCTATCTTATTTTAAAGAAAGTTAAAACACAAAGTTCTAACAAATAAAAAAAAAAAAAACGCAGCAGCAACTGGAAGTAAACATCAGTTTCCAGCAAAAAAAAATCTTGGAAATTGTTGGAAATTGTGGTCACATGTCCACGGAATGCTGCAAATAAGGGAAAAGGAGAAGGGAAGAAGGAGGATGGAAGCGAGGGAGGGAGGGAGGAAGGGAATGGAGGGAGAGAAGAAAGACAAGAAGGAAGTTCAGGGTGGGAGGGAGGAAGGGTATAGAAGGAGGAAGGAAGGAAAGAAAAAACATGGAGGAGGGAGAAAGAGCATGGAGGAAGAAGAAGGAAAGGAAGGAGGGAAGTTGGAACAAATGAACAAACAAAGGACAGGTAGAGGAAAGGAAGGAAAATGAAGGAAGGAGGATGGAAGGAAGGAGAATAGAGAGGAGGATGGAAGGAAGGAAGGAAAGAAGGAAGGAAGGAAAAAGGAAAGAGGGGGAGGAAGGAAGGAAGGAAGGAAGGAAGGAAGGAAGGAAGGAAAGAAGGGAAAAGGAGGGAGGAAGGGTTACAGCATTAAAAAGGTTAATGTTGTAAATAAGGAATGCCACCCTGTGTCCAGCATTGCATCAACCCTCCACACAGCTTGTTCTTGTGTATTAGCAAAATTAAACAGCCCCATTGGGGGCCTTTCCACCCTCCGGAACTTCCTCACTTTGTAGACTGTGACTAGTTTTCAAGCGAGCGGATTGACATGCCGTAATAGAACCTCCTGCCTTCAGTGTATATACAACTAAGTATGGGGAGGAACTGCTGTGGAACATTTTGTTAAGACGGGTTTAATCCCTTCTTTCCACTTGGGAACAAAAGGGAGCCCTGTGGGTGGCCCAACACATCCCTGCACGCTCAGAGGTGGTTTTTGGGGGACTTTCCTTTCCATTGGCAGATTTTCGCTCTCTGCCAACTCAAAACGATGCTTCAGAAGCCAAAATGTATTTTCTTGGGATTGCAGTGCAGCCATGGAAGGCAGCTGTACGATCCCAGGAACTGCCCTTAAATCTGCCCAGCCAAGACTCAGGTGATGGGACTCTCTTGAAAAGCAAAAGAAACTCTTCCTTCCATCCATCCTTATTTTTTTTTCCTTCTCCTTCCTTTTTCTTCCTTCCATCCTAATTTTATTTACTTCATTTTCCTTCCTTCTTTCTTCTTCCTTCCATCTGTATTTTTCTTCTTTCATTTTCCTTCCTATTTTTCTTCCTCTCCTTTTTCTATTCTCCTTCCTTCCATCCTCATTTTTCTTTCTTTCCTTCTTTCTTTTTTCCTTCCTTCCCTCTACCCATCCTTTGTTGATTTGTTCCAACTTCCTTCCTTCCCTATTTTTCTTCCTTCCACCTGCCTTCTATTCTCCTTCCATCATTTTTTCCTTCCTTCCTTCTTTTTCCTTCCTTCTACCCAACCTTAGTTTGTTCATTCATTCCAACTTCCTTCCTTCCCTATTTTTCTTCCTTCCATCTACCTTCTATTCTCCTTCCTTTCATCCTCATTTTTTTCCTTCCTTCCTTTTTCCTCCCTTCTACCCATCCTTTGTTCATTCATTCGTTCCAACTTCCTTCCTTCCTTCCCTGTCCAACTTCGTTCCTTTTCTTCTTTGAACTTACCAACTCACTCATCCACTGATTCCTACCTACCTACCACGTTGCAAAAGTGACTTCAGTTTTCTTGCACCCTAAAAGATTTCTGACAAGGAGATTATAGACAAAAAAAGAGCTTCCAAAAATTTTGTATAAAACTGCATGAGATGACAAGATTGCTCAGGATCTCCGAGGTGAGACCTGTGCAATCTTATGAGACTTGTCCATCTGAAACAGTTTTAGCCATTTTAAAAATTTTAGTTTTCAGATACAGGGTTCCTGATTGATGGCTTGGGATGAAACAGCTCCTGGTACTCTTTGGCTGTTGGTCATACCCAGAAGGCTGTCGAGAAATAAGCAGAATGATGAAAGAATTTGGTTTTTAAAATCTTAGCAGGATTAACTTTGCTCTGGTGAGGGACCTCGTGACTAACCAGATGTTGTTGGGCGAGTCGCGATGCGTTCTGCAGCGCCTGTTTCCAAAACTGAAACTTGCGCTTTCCTTTCATGAAGAGCGCCTGGTGTTAAAGGAAGAGTTCCCTCCGGAGCAGAAACTGGTGTCAGAATCTTTAAACTTGTAGACAGGAGCAGAGAGCTGTTGGTATCCTGAAGTGCAACTTCGGCGTCATTCTGGTTCATTTTAGCAAAGGCATCCAAAGAGCTAAGGGCAGAATCAAAGTCTTTGTAGTGATGGATCTGATGACGAATCCATTTGGACAACCCTGGGGAAATGATATAATGAATCAGAGATGAATTCCATTCCATTCCATTCCATCCCAGTTCTTTTCCTATTCTATTCTATTCTATTTCATTCCATTCCACTTATTCTATTCTATTCTATTCTATTCTATTCTATTCTATTCTATTCTATTCTATTCTATTCTATTCTATTCCATTCCATTCCATTCCATTCCATTCCATTCCATTCCATTCTGCTCTTGTTCTGTTCTGTTCTATTCTATTATACTCTTATACATTACACCAGGAGTATCAAACTTGCGATGTCACAGCAGTGTCATGTGACGTATTGGGACTTCCCCCCTTCGCTAAAACGGGCAGGGGCGGGGCCAGCGTGTGACACAACCGGCCCGCGAGTTTGACACCCCTGCATTACACACGAAAGAGCCGTGGTGACACAGTGGTTAGAATGCAGCATTGCAAGCTAACTCTGCCCACTGCCAGCAGTTCGATCCTGACCGGCTCAAGTCGGCTCAGCCTTCCATCCTTCCAAGGTCTGTAAAATGAGGACCCAGATTGTTGGAGGCCATAGGCTGACTCTGTAAAACCGCTTAGAGGGGGGCTGTAAAGCGCTATAAAGCAGTACATTAAGTCTTAGTGCTATTGCTATCTTTTCCTTAACACCTCCAGGGATGGAGCACCCAAAACCACTAGAGGCAAGCCATTCCACTGAATAATTGTTGTAACTATCTGGAAATTTCTCTCCTTCGTTTTTAAGTTGATTTCTCTCCTTGTTTAGTTTCCACCCATCACTTCTTGTCCTGTCTTCTGCTGTCTTGGAGAATAGTTGACCCCACCCTCTTCTTTGTGGCAGCCCCAGAAGGGGAGGGGGCAGGGGTGGGATTCATCCGGTTTGTACCGGTTCGTGTGAACCGGTAGTTGTGACCTGCAGATGGGCCCGCCCACCGGCCCTGGCGCTATGCCATCCTATTTAGCTGCATTTTTTAAGCATGCATGCAAGCATGCGCGCTCACATTTTTGGTGCTGGGGCGAACTGTGGCTCAGTGGCTAAGATGTTGAGCTTGTCAATCAGAAAGGTCGGTGGTTTGAATCCCTAGTATAGGTCTCCTGCATGGACTAGATGACAAGCTGAGGTGGCGCAGTGGTTAGAGTGCTGTACTGCAGCTACTTCAGCTGACTGCTAGTTCAGCAGATCAGCGGATCAAATCTCACCGCCTCAAGGTTGACTCAGCCTTCCATCCTTCTGAGGTGGGTAAAATGAGGACCCGGATTGTGGGGGGCAATATGCTATTTAGTATACTGTCGATTGTTGTAAGTCACCCAGAGTCCTCGGAGAGTGGGCGGCCTAGAAATATGACTAATAATAATAATAATGACCTCGAAGGTCCCTTCCAACTCTGTTACCGTTACTTCGAGAGGTGGCTAAATTATGTGAAGCCCATCTCTGGATGGGGGCCTGGTGTGCTATGGTTCATGGGGCCGCGAAGAGTCAGATGCGACTTAGCAACTGAACCACAACAACAAACCTAACCGGGACCACAAAGCTAAACCTATTAGAACCAAGTAAGTTGGATCCTATTTGTTGTAACGATTACAACGATCCTTTCTGGATCGCGACGCCTTGCACACGGTCACTCACACCCTTGTCACCTCCCGACTGGACTACTGTAATGCTCTCTACATGGGGCTCCCCTTGAAAAGCATCCGGAGGCTCCAACTGGTCCAGAATGCGGCCGCGCGGGTGGTTATGGGCGCAACTCGTTGTGCCCACGTGACACCCCTCCTGCACGAGCTGACTGGCTCCCAGTGGTCTTTCGGGTGCGATTAAGGTGTTGGTTACCACCTTTAAAGCGCTCCATGGCATTGGACCTGGGTACCTTCGAGACCATCTTCTGCCACCAGTAGCCTCCCACCGGCCAGTCCGCTCCCACAGAGAGGGTCTCCTCAGGGTGCCATCGGCCAAACTATGTCAGTTGGCGACACCCAGGGGGAGGGCCTTCTCTGTGGGAGCCCCTGCCCTTTGGAATGAACTCCCCCCAGAAATTCGCAAAATCTCTGATCTCCGTGTATTTCGCTGTGCCCTCAAAACCTTGTTGTTCCGCCAGGCCAGGCAGTCAATATAAAGATTTTAATTGGTTTTAAATGTGGGATTTTAAATTTGGGGGTTTTAAAATTGAGCCAATTATTTAATAATTTTAATTATTTTTAAATTTTGTTTGTCTTTGTGCTTTTAATCAGGCTGTACACCGCCCTGAGTCCTTTGGGAGAAGTGCAGTATAGAAATAAAATTATTATTACAAGTTTTGTAAAACAAGTTTTGCTGAATTTTCAGTCCAAGTCGTACGATCTCACAAAAAAAAGCAGAAGGCCGAGGTCAACCCAAGGATTCAAGTTCTAATTTTTTTTTTAACTGCACCATTATTATATCTCTCCCGTAGCTCAAGGCACTTGGCAAATTTGTTTTATTTACCATGTTCCCTTCCTCTCCCACTTCTCCAGGGTCAGAGGGAAGAGAAGTTTTGGAAAGGTTCTGGTGTCCTTAAATCCTCAGCTGTTCACTCAAGGACACCTCGGGAAATTAAAGGACTCTGTTGATGTGCAACAGGGCCGCTTGTTCTCATGCCAAGGCAAGATCGAGGCAGCTAGAAAGACGTGTCTCAGAGATGTGACGGAAAGAGCAGCCGGCCAAGGCTGCTTTTCACAGATCTGGAGAGAAGACAATGTCTTTTGTCTGCTCGTTGAAGAGCAATGATAATCTTTCAGCCTTGGTCAGGTCCAAGAGCCGAACTTTAACAACAAATGTTTGAATTAAGCAATGAATAAACCACAACTGCTACATAAGACATTTACTTTACTTTACTTTACTTTTATTTATATATAGGAGCCTTGGTAGTACAGTGGTTTAATGCACCCTGTTATTAACACAGCTGCCTGCAATTTCTGCAGGTTCGAATCTTGCCAGGCTCAAGGTTGACTCAGCCTTCCATCCTTTCTAAGGTAGGTAAATTGAGCACCCAGTTGTGGGGGCAATAAGCTGATTTTGTATAAATATACAAAAGTATGAAGGCTATTGCTTAGCACATTGTAAGCTGCCCTGAGTCTCCGGAGAAGGGCGGCATATAAATCAATTTTTTTTTTAAAAAAAAAATTGATTTATATACTGCACTACTCCCGAAGGACTCAGGGTGGTGAACAGCCAACAATAAAATCCATACATACAAAATTTAAAAAGCAGAATTAAAATCAAATTAAATAGTTTTGGCCCAGACAAATTAAAACCTCAATCAATTTAAAACCAATTTTAAAATTTGAATATATAAAATACTAAAAAATATTAAAAATTAAAAATTCTTTTATAAAAGAGGGAGAAAATTAGGCCAGGCCCGCCTGGTGAAATAAAATGGTCTTTAGAGCGCGGCGGAAGGTGCGCAGATCCGGGATCCTCCGTATCTCTGGGGGGAGCTCATTCCAGATAGTAGGTGCCCCCACAGAGAAGGCTCTCCCCCTGGGAGAGCGTTACAATAATCCAGGCGGGAGGTGACGAGGGCATGAGTGACCGTGCATAAGGAGTCCTGATCCAGAAAGGGACGCAACTGGCGAATCAGGCGAACCTGATGAAAAATCCTCAAAATTTCATGATCCTTTTTTATTTTTGCTGTTGTACAAGTAGTCCTCGCCCTACGTCCACAACTGAGCCAATTTTCATTGCTAAGCAAGACGGTTGCTAAGTGAGCCGTGGTGGTGCAGTGGTTAGAATGCAGTATTGAGGCTACTTCTGCTGACTGCCGGCTGCCTCCAATTTGGCAGTTCGAATCTCACCAGACTCAAGGTTGATTCAGCCTCCCATCTTTCCGAGGTGGGTAAAATGAGGACCCAGATTGTTGGGGGCAATACGCCGATTCTGTAAACCGCTTAGAGAGGGCTGTAAAGCCCTGTGAAGCGGTATATAAGTCTAAGTGCTATTGCTATTTTACAACCTTTTTTTGGCCACAATTAGATTAGATTAACAGAGGTGGAAGGGACCTTGTAGGTCATCTAGTCCAACCTCCCGCCCAAGCAGGGGACCTTACACTATTTCTGACAAATGGTAATCCAGTCTCTTCTTGAAAGCTTCCAGTGATGAAGCTCCCACAACTTCTGAAGGCAACTTCTGTTCCATTAGTTGATTGTTTCTCACTGTCAGAAAATTTCTCCTTATTTCCAGGTTGAATCTCTCCTTGTTCAGTTTCCACCCATTATTCCTTGTCTGGCCTTTGAGTGCCTTGGAAAATAGCTTGATCCCCCTCCTCTCCATGGCGGCCCCTCAGATATTGGAAGATGCTATCCTGTCTCCCCTGGTCCTTCTCTTCACTAGACCAGCCAGGCCCAGTTCCTGCAACCGTTCTTCGTATGTTTTAGTTAAGTGAATCACTGCAGTTGTTCAGTGGGTCATGTAGTCATTAAGTGAATCTGGCTTCCCTCGTTGACTTGGCTTGTCGGAAGCCAGCTGGGAAGTTTACATGTGATCAGATGACCCTGGGACAGTGCAACCGCGATAAATACATGCCAATTGCCACATGCCCAAATTTTGATCACCAGCGTGGTCGCAAGTGCGAAGTCACTTTTTCTCAGTCCTGTTGTAACCTTGAACTGTCCCTAAATCAGGGGTGGGCAAATGTGGCTCTTTTACAACCTGTCTCAGGAATTCTGGGAGCTGAAGTCCACAGGTTGTAAAAGAGCCACATTTGCCCACCCCTGCCCTATATGAACAGTTGTTAAGTCGAGAACTTCTTGTACAATGTTTCCTGCAGCTTTATTCTGAAAAAACAAACAAACCTGAAGCTTCTCTTCTGACAATCTGCCAGAACAGCAGGATAAAAATAAAAAACAGAAATAATTACACAATACATCCAAAAATTTAGCGTGAAAATTATGTGGGATCAATGTCCTTGTGTACACTGAGTGTGCACGGACAAGCCAAATGAGAGGGGAGGCATTCCACATGTGGGATTACAATTCCCATATATTTTGTTTTTCCTGGCCCTTGGCCATACCGCCTGAGTTCCTGGGAGTTGAAGATCTACAATACTGGGACGGCTACAGGTTCTCCGCACCTGTGAAACAGGCGCCAGCCAGTGATACTTTCTAAAGCTTCTTAGATTTCCTTGCGAATGTAATTAATTCATAAATATTTAGTGCCTCCTCTGATTTAATGGGCCTTGTTTTGACAAGAAAGAGGTTAAGTGGAAAAAAAAAAAAGACCAAATTGGGAAGGGAAAAATAAAAACAAAACGCCCCACCCACCTTTGATGGCATCTAAAATTACCGTGAAAGATTTTAAAGGAGAGTCACTGTCATCCTTTCATCTTACGCCCTTCGGTGACAGGGCCCGAACGGTTCATATGATGGAAATGGAGCGCCCCCTACTGTCAAGACGAGGGAAGGGTGGGCTTTATCAATTCCATAACGTTGCTTAAAAGGTAAAGGTTCCCCTCACACATATGTGCCAGTCGTTCCTGACTCTAGGGGGCTCATCTCCGTTTCAAAGCCGAAGAGCCAGCGCTGTCCGAAGACGTCTCCGTGGTCATGTGGCCGGCATGACTCAACGCCAAAGGCACACGGAACGCTGTTCCTTCCCACCAAAGGTGGTCCCTATTTTTTCTACTTGCATGTTTTTACGTGCTTTCGAACTGCTAGGTTGGCAGAAGCCGGGACAAGAACGGGAGCTCACCCCGTTACGCGGCATTAGGGATTTGAACTGCTGAACTGCCGACCTTTCGATCGACAAGCTCAGCGTCTTAACCACTGAGCTACCGCATCCCTCCTATTGCTTAGGAAGGCTAAAAAAAAGAAAAGAATGAAGAATGCATACAGTAGAATGCAGAATAAAAAGAATTGGGAGGGGAGCTTAGTGACCTTCTAGTCTAGTGGTCCCCAATCTTTCCAGCTTGGTGGATCGGTGGGGGAGAGGAGATGGTTATGTGAAAGTGGTAGGTGCTGGGAGTGGGGGTCACGCGCACATGTGCCCACGTCCATAATTCAACGCACCCTGCCCCCTGCGCATACGACACCCCCACGCTCCCCACACTTTTGCCACGCGATGGTATGGTGGGCCAGGTAGGCCCTTTTTTTCATCCTCCCCAGGCTCCAGAGGCTTTCTAGGAGCCTGGGGAGGGAGAAAACAGCTTTCCACATACACCCCCGGAGGGCCTCAGCCCATTTCCTGACTTCCGGTGGGCCCGGAAGGGCCGAAAATCAGCTGGCTGGAGCTGAGCTAGGGCAACACTCGTGTACCCACAGATATGGTTCTGCATGCCACCTGTGGCATGCATTCCATAAGTTCGCCATCATAGTCCTATACCATTTCAGACAAATGGTTATCCAGTCACCCTCTTGAAAACCTCCACTGATGGAACACCCACAACTTCTGGTGGCAAGCTGTTCCACTGGTTAACTGTTCTCCCTGTCAGGAAATTCTTCCTTAGCTCTAGATTGGAGCTTTCTTTAATGATTACTTCTTGAGCTGCCCCTCAGGTGCTATGGAGAATAAGTTGACCTTCTCTTTCTGTGACAGCCCCCCCCCCAAATATTGGAAGATTGGTATCATGTCACTCCTAATCCTTCTCTTTTGTTAAGACTAGACTAGACTAGACCAGGAAGGGATCTTGGAGGTCTTCAGCCCCCTGTTCAAGCAGGAGAACCTATACCATCTCAGACAAGTGGCTGTCCAGTCTCTTCTTTAAAAAAACTCCTGTGATGGAGCGCTCACGATTTCTGAAGGCAAGATTATCTACCTGCTGCCATTTTTCCTAGTGCCATTAGCAGACCCCAACTCTATTTGTAGCACCAACGATCAGGAGTCCATCAAATTGCCTGACGAGGTGGCTCAGTGGCTAAAACACTGAGCTTGTCGATCAGAAAGGTCAGCAGTTCGGCGGTTCGAATCCCTAGTACAGGTCTCCTGCGTGAGCAAGCGGGTTGGACTAGATGACCTCCAAGGCCCCTTCCAACTATGTTATTGTTAAATACTGTTAAATGTCCTTGACGGCCACCCTCAAAGAACATTAAAGGGAGCGTTCCTTTGTTGATGGGTTTTCTTTCGCTTTCTTAGGGTAGCTGATCCTTTAAGAAGCCTCAAATTACTCAAGCGCTAAGAGTTCTGGGGGTGAATTGCAGTCACACGATAACCGAATCCCTTTTTTATGATGATCCTAGCCAGCCTCCAAACCTAATTTCCAGAGATCTGGTTCCACAAAGTGGAATTCCGCTAGAATTTCATGCATAAAACCTCAATATGGTTTTGAGTACTTCCGTTGCAATGACTATCTGAAGGGCAACGGCATTTTTAAAATATTGACGTCACCAGAGTTCCCTGGTTTAGAAGGAAAGGGAGAGGAACATGAGAAATTGTTGAACTTATCCACGCCTAAAGATTTTGAAAATCTCAGGAAAACATAGAGTTGAAAGAGATCTTGGAGATCATCAAGTCCAGCCCCCTGCTCCAGCAGGAGACAATGTACCGTTTCAGACAAGTGGTTGTCCAGTCTCTTCTTAAAAGACTCCAGTGATGAAGCACCCACAACTTCTGGTGGCAAGCTGTTCCACTGGTTAATTATCCTCACTGTTAGGAAGTTTCTCCTTAATTCCAAGTTGCTTCTCTCCTTGATTACTTTCCATCCGTTCTTTCTTGTCCTGCCCTCCGGTGCTTTGGAGAATAATTTGACCCCTTCTTCTTTGGGGCAGCCCCTCAAATACTGCTATCGTGTCTCCCCTAGTCCTTCATTTCTTTAGACTAGCCATAGCCAATGTTCCATTCTCTTCCATTCCCCTTGCGTTCTTCAATGAAAAGAAGGACTATCAATTGGAATAGGGCTGGAAGGACCTTGGAAGTCTTCTAGTCCAACCCCCTGCTCAAGCAGGAGACCCTAGACCAGTGATGGCTAACCTTTTTGCCATCGCGTGCCAAAAGCGGTGGGAGCGTGGTGGGGTCACACGCACGCGTGCCCACATCCATAATTCTATGCGCCGTGCTCACCCCGCTTTTGGCACGTGATGGCCCGGTGGGCCTGGTAGGCCCGTTTTTTGCTCTCCTCAAGCTCCAGAGCCTTTCTAGGAGCCTGGGGAGGGCAAAAACGGCCTTCCCCAACCCCCCCAGAGGCCCTCCAGAGGCCGGAAACAGTGTGTTTCCTGACTTCTGGTGGGCCCAGAAGGCCCGAAAATCAGCTGGCTGGCGCACGCATGCGTGCTGGAGCTGAGCTCACGTGCCCACCGATATGGCTTCGCGTGCCACTTGTGGCACCCGTGCCATAGGTTCGCCATCACGGCCCTATACCGTTTCAGACAAGTGATTGTCCAGTCTTTTCTTTAAAAACTTCAACTGATTAAGCACCCGCAACTTCTGAAGGCAAGATGTTCCACTAGTTTCTTGTCCTCACTATTAGGGAATTTCTCCTCAATTCCAGGTTGCTTCTCTCCTTGATTAGTTTCCACCCATTGTTTCTTGCCCTGCCTTCTGGTGCTTTGGAGAATAATTTGACCCCCTCTTCTTTGTGGCAGTCCCTCAAATAATGAAATACCGCTATCATGTCCCTCAGAATTCTTCTTTTCTTTAGCCTAGCCAGACCCAACACCTGCAGCCCGTTCTTCGTATGGTTTAGTCTCCAGGCCTTTGATCATCTTAGTTGCTCTTCTCTGAACTTTTTCCAAAGTCTTTTTCCAAAGCAGAGATTCACAGTTCCCGTAACGGTTCATCATACAGTGTAGCCTCCAGACCGCGGATCATCTTCACTGCTCTTCTCTGTGCTCTTTCTAAGGCCTCAGCAGCTGTCTGGATTGTGGTGACCAGAACTGGATGCAGCATGCCAAATGTGGTCTCACCAGTGCAGTATACAAGAAGTCCTCGACTTATAACCATTCGTTTAGGGACCATTCGAAGTCACAATGGCACTGAAAGAAGTGACTTAGGGCTGCTTTTCACATTTTCACTGTTAACAGTATTCCTCGTGGTCACACGATAAAAATTGGGAGGCTTGGCAAGTAAGATCAAAATAAAGCATGAACAGCAAATCGCCACTTTTTGCTTCACCGTCGTAATATAAACTTGCCGTTTCTATAAACATGATCTCAGTCTAATCGGTGAAACCCAAAATCAAAGCTTAATTGCAGTTGTTAAAATGAGGACTACCTGGACTACAAAGGCCATTTCCGGAAAAGCAGTAACAAGAGTTGGCAAGGTCATGCTTGCGGGTGGGTGGGTGGATGGATGGGAATGGTGATTAAAAAAATATATATGTCAAGATGGCAGCGTAAATGAAAAAGGGGGGGGCAGGGGTTTTATCACATGGCTGTAGTTGCCATCTTGACTTTTCTGACCATCTGTTGGGAACATCCTTGCTGACAACCCTGGAAAACGAATTAGAGTGAGAGCGTGTTATCCCGCTCCACCTCCCTGTGCCTTGCCAACGTGTTTCCCCAAATAATCAGATATCTTACCAGCTGTGTATTTATTGGGGTTCTTTCTAAAACGGTCATCGACTAAAATAAGTGCTCCCCAATCGTTTCGGTGGCGAATGCATCTGGAACAGAAAAACATATCAACTCACAACCTCCGTGATATGCTTTCTTTTTTTTTTTTGTCAATTTTTTTTATTTTTAAACAAAACCTAAAACAACCATCATCCATTACAATTACAGAAAGTGTGTCGATCGGTTACAATGCTTTTGTGCTTAATCCCATATCCAAAGTTTATAAGTTATTTAATTTCTCTTATTATATCTCTTTGTGTTATTATTCTCATTTAACATTTATTTAACAATGGCATTTATCCCATAAAAAAACCAGTTTCACATATTATATTATTACATTTATTTCATATTTCATACTTCATTTCCATGCTTTATTATCTAGCCATTGATAAAATAAATCCCATTATCATATAATATTGTTTATCTTCCTGTTCTCTAATTTTAAATGTCAATTTACTTATTTCAGCACATTCCATAACTTTCTTGATAACTTCATCTTCCGTAGGTATTTTCTCCTTTTTCCAATTTTTAGCAAATACAATTCTAGCCACTGTTAAAAACATTCACAATTAAATATCTCAGTTCTCTATTATATGTTTCTGGTAAAATCCCTAATAAAAATATCTCTGGTTTAAAGTCAATGTGTTTCTTTGTCATTTTTTCTAACCATGTGTGGATTTTAGTCCAATATCTTTTGGCTTCTACACATGTCCACCACATATGGTAACATGAGCCCGGTATCCGGTCGTGATCTGCTTTCTTAAAACTTTCAGAAAAGGGAACGAATTGGATGTCCCAAAGGTGCTTTTTTTCAAGAGGCAACTGGATTTTCTGGTTTTTCTTTGAAGGCGTTTCGCTTCTCATCTGAGAAGCTTCTTCAGCTCTGACTGGATGGTGGGGAATGGAAGGATTTATACTCCTTGCGGACAGATTGTCATTTGCATTCTTTTAGTGAGTTGTTGAGGCCGCTTGAAGGTTTATCTGTGTCCTCAGGATCAACTGAGTAGTGCAAACGGACGTGGAGCCGTCTTGGAACTGCTGAAAAGTTTGTTTTGTAGAAGGCTCCACACTCATTTGCACTATCGTGATCCTGAGGATAGAGACAAACCTCCAAGTGACCTCAATGACTCTCTAAAAGGATGCAAATGACCAGCAGTCTGCAAGAAATATAAACCCTTCCATTTCCTACCATCTGGTCAGAGCTGAAGAAGCTTCTTGGAGGAGAAGTGAAACGTCTTCAAAGAAAACAAGGAAGTCCAGTTTATTTTTTTTATTTATTTATTTTTATTTTACTTCAAATTTATATACCGCCCTTCTTCCTGGGAACTCAGGGCGGTGTACAGCCAGATAAAAACACATAATACAAACATTAAGAACAGATTAAAAGGAAATATCTCAATTTGGCCCAAAATTTAAAAGACATACGAATTTAAAATCATTTAAAAGGATTTGTTAGGCCAGCCCGGCTTGTTGGAAAAGGAAAGTTTTAAGGGCACGGCAGAAGTTGCCTCTTGAAAAAGCACCTTTGGAACAACCGTGATCTGGATGACTGAGAATCTCAACAGACAAGAGAATCGGATACTGGCTTCGGGTCTGGTTTCAGATACAGATAGTCCTCAACTTACAACCTACAACTTACAACCGAAGTTATAATGGCACTGAAAAAAAATGACTTTGGACCGTTTTCACACTTATGACTGTTGCAACATCCCCGTGGTCACTTGATCAAAATTCAGATGCTTGGCAACTGGCAGTGTCCCTGGGTCGTGTGATCATCATTTGGGACCTTCTGACAAGCAAAGTCAAGGGGGAAGCCAGATTCACTTAACAACAGAGAGCCTGGATAGCTCTGCAGACAAGGCACTGTAATTTAACACCAGCTGCCTGCAATTACTGCAAGTTCGAATCTCGCCAGGCTCAAGGTTAACTCAGCCTTCCATCCTTTCTAAGGTAGGTAAATTGAGGACCCAGTTTGTGGGGGCAATAAGCTGACTTTGTATAAATACACAAAAAGTATGAAGGCTATTGTTTAACGCACTGTAAGCCGCCCTGAGTCTCCGGAGAAGGGCGGCATATAAATCAAATTAAAAAAACAAAACAAAAACAGTGTTACTAACTTAAAACTCTTTCTCAATGTCCAACTTTCAAAGGAATACCTTAAAAAACAATGGCACTTAAACTCTTTTGATCTTTATTGTCATAGAAATATCCTTCTTTTTTCTATTTTGGATGACTGAGTGCCGGATTGGTCTTAGTGGTTAAGGCACCAGGCTAGAAGGCAGGAGACTGTGAGTTCTAGTCCCACCTTAGGCACGGCAGCCAGATGGGTGACTTTGGGCCAGTCACTCTCACTCAGCCCAACCCATCTCACAGTAGGAGGAGGAAAGAGAATTGGATAGGTTCTCTGCCTTGAGTTATTTATAAAAATCAATAAAGGCGGGATACATACAAACAAGCATCCAAGTGGTTTTGAATTTCAAATGTTAAAAGAGCCATAATGGCACAGTGGTTAGAATGCAGAATTGCAGGCAAACTCTGCTCGCTGCCAGGAGTTCGATCCTGACCGTCTCAAAGTTGATTCAGCCTTCCATCCTTCCGAGGTGGGTAAAATGAGGACCCAGATTATTGGGGGCAACATGCTGACTCTGTAAACCGCTTAGAGAGGGCTGTAAAGCACTGTGAAGCAGTACATAAGTCTTAGTGCTGTTGTTATTGCAGATTAACTCTGCCACTGCCAGGAGTTCGATCCTGACCGGCTCAAGGTCGACTCAGCCTTCCATCCTTCCGAGGTGGGTAAAATGAGGACCCGGATTGTTGGGAGGAAGAGGCTGACTCTGTAAACCACTTAGAGAGTGCTGTAAAGCACTGTGAAGCTTTAAATACCCTGTTTTCCCGAAAATAAGACCCAAATAAGAAAATAAGTCCTAGCATGATTTTTCAGGATGCTTGTAATATAAGCCCTACCCCAAAAATAAGCCCCAATTAAGATCGTCAGCAGACGGAGGCGTTTAGTACTGTATTTCTCCCAAAATAAGACTAACCGGAAAATAAGCCATAATGTGTCTTTTGATGCAAAAATTAATGTAAGACCCGGTCTTTATTTTGGGGGAAACACGGTAACTCTCACCGACCAGTTCGCTCCCATACAGAGGGGCTCCTCAGGGTGCCGTCGGCCAAACAATGTCGATTGGCAGCCCCCAGCGGGAGAGCCTTCTCTGTGGGGGCACCTGCCATCTGGAATGAGCTCCCCCCGGAGATACGGAGGATCCAAGACTTACGCATCTTCCGCCGCGCCCTAAAAACGTTTTTATTCCAACAGGCTGGTCTGGCCTAACTCTCCCTTTTAAATTGGCTTTTAAATTGGGTTTTAAATGTTTTTTAGATAAATTGGATGTTTTTAATTTGTTTTTTGAGCCTAAATTATTTAATCTGTTTTTAATAGTTTTTTAACTTTTGTATGTCTCTGTATTTTATTTTGGCTGTTTCACCGCCCTGAGTCCTTCGGGAGTAGGGCGGTATACAAATATGATAAATAAATAAATAAATAAATAAATACATAAATAAATAAACTCTAAGTGCTATTGCTAAAATCAAAGTTCCAAGTTGATAGCAGTGTTTGCTTTAAGGAAAGGTCAGCAGAGCTCAAAAAAAGACTTTGAGGATGAAGAGCTGAAGGGATAACCTTCACTGAATAGGTTCACTCACCTGCCAAGGGCTTGGTTCAGAGCTCTGTAGGCCTGGATTTCATACCACTGGCTTCCGGTCAGAAGTCCTCTGGCTTTTGAGTGTTGATCATTGTATTTCCTTTTCAGTTCCACCTGGAGAAATTACAACTACAGTAAAGTTCTCTGCAAAAGATTGATCGTTAACAGAATTCATTTTGTTTTCAACAATACCTATTCCAGCAGGCCGGCCTGGCCTAATTTTCTCCCCTTCTTTTAAATTTTTAAACTGAAATTTTAATTCGTTTTAAATTATTGGGAGTTTTAAATTGTCTCGGGCAAAAATTATTTAATTGGGTTTTAATCATGTTTTAACTTTTGTATTTATGTGTTTTATTTTGTGCCTGTTCACCGCCCTGAGTCCTTCGGGAGTAGGGCGGTATACAAATTTAATAAAATGAAATGAAATGAAAATGAAAAAATACCTGAAACAGAAAAAATGGTACCTCCCCGACGGCAATCCATCTTTGCTGGACTAAATTACAGGTAGTTCTAAAGTTACAACCATTCATTTAATGAGCGTTCGAAGTTATGATGCTGCTGAAAAAAGGGACTCAAGACCAGTCCTGGCACTGATGAGTATCGTAGTGTGATGTCGCCTGGTCACATGATCAAAATGTGGTTGCTTAGCAACAGGCGTGTTATTTATTTTATTCATTAAACAAATTTATAGAGGCGGTTCTCAGTACACGGCCGCAACTGAGCCCAAAATTTCTGCTGCTAAGCAAGACAGTTGCTAAGTGAGCTTTGCTCCATTTTACGACCTTTCTTGCCTCGGTTGTTTAGTGAATCACTGCTGTTGTTGAGTTAGTAACACGGTTGTTAAGTGAATCTGGGTTCCCCATTGACTTGGTTTATCAGGAGGTCACAAACAGAGGATCACGTGACCCCGGGACACACTGCAACCGTCATAAATATGAGTCAGTTGCCAAGCATCTGAATTTTGATCACATCACTATGGGGATGCTGGAAGGATTGTAAGTTTGAACAGTCGTAAATCCCTGCAATTTTGAGCGGTCACTAAGCGAACTGTTGTTGAGGACTACCTATATATTTTACTACAGATAGTCCTTGACTTGCAACCGCTGGTTGAAGTGTCCCGGGGTCATGTGATCTCCTTTTGTGACCTTCTGACAAGCAAAGTCAATGGGGAAGCCAGATTCACTTAATGTGTGTTGCTCACTTAACAACTGCAGTGATTCACTTAACAAATGTGGCAAGAAAGGTCGAAAACAAGGGCAAATCGCACTTACCGTGTTTCCCCAAAAAGAAGACCCTGTCTTATATTTTTTTGAACCCTGAAATAAGCGCTTGGCCTTATTGCCATGCGCTCAAAAGCCCGATTGGGCTTATTATCAGGGGATGTTTTATTTTGGGGAAAAACAGGGTAGCAACAGAAATTTTGGGCTCAATTGTGGCCATATGTCAAGGACTAGCTGCACTACAAATGCGAGAAGGGACTGGAACACACACACAGATCTCTCCTCTTTGCTTAACTGAAAGTAACCCATTCTTTTACTATTGAATTAGTGATTTGTGCTAAGCCCACAACTGAATTACACTCTCACAAATGAAAGCGAATCTACATGTCCCAGGATAATGTTGCAGGATGCAATCTGGGTCGGTTATCGGGACCGAAGGTTTTATCTTCCGAGCTTTCGGACTCGTGCTGGAGCCCATCCTCGGGGAGCTTCTCTCTAGCAGAGTGCGTGATGTTCTGTGTGCAGTATTTATGGTGCCCGTTGGCTTTTTGGATGTCGATTGGGGTGTCATTAGCTGTTGTTTGCTTGTGCCACTCAGCCCTGGCCTTCTAAGTACTTGATAGGCTGGTGGTAAATCAGCACTCCTGGTGACTGACAAGGAGCCTGTTTCCCAGACTTCAATCATTTCCTTGGCTGTTTTTGTCCCTGCTCAGCCAACAATCTTAGTAGCCTACAAAATTGAATGTGCATCCTGGTTTTGTTGCAATATGAGGCTACCAATGAGTTAGGGTCTCCTCGCCTGGTGGCTTGCTCGTCTTCTTGCAATCTGGCAGTTAGCTTCCTCCCTGTCTGTCCTGCATAGTGACAGGGCCAATCCATGCAGGGGATCCAGTAGATTAACATTGGAAGTATCTCAGGACCCAGATTGGATCCTGAATACACCCTGTGTCCATTGACCATTGGAATGACACATACAGGGTGTCCTCGATTTACAACGGTTCACTTAGTGACTGTTCAAAGTTACAACGGAACTGAAAATAAAAAGGAGTCAGCACAGGTAATCCTCGGCTTAACAACAGTTCGTTTAGTGACAGTTTGAAGTTACAACAGCACTGAAAAAGGTGACTTATGACCATTTTTTCACACTTACGACCATTGCAGCATCCCCATGGTCACGTGATTTACATTCAGATACTTGACAACTGACTCACATTTATGACAGGGTCATATGATCACCATTTGCGATCTTCAGGCAAGCAAAGGCAACGGGGGAAGCTAGATTCACTTCACAACCATGTGACTTACTTAACAACTGCAGTGATTCACTTTAACAAATGCGGCAATGTTAAGGAACATGCACAGAGTAACCCTTGAGTAGCAAGGTTGCGCACATGAGAAATGGCTGAGAGTGACTGTGAATAAGCACTGTCAATACACAAGACACACTGAGTTGTGATATTCTTTTACTTTTAGGAAAAACAAAGCAAAGTCCAATAAACAATCCAGGTCATACACAGATAAAGATAGTTAAATTGTCAATCCAGGGATATTCCAAGAACAAAGTCTTCTTACCAGTTGTTGTAGTCATATGCAATAAAACAGTTCTTTTTAGAGTTGCAACAGGAATAAGTACAGCAGTAAAACAACCAGTAAAACAGTAGAAAAACAACAAGTAGCAATGATCAATCAGTGATCATGCAGAGAGAACAGGCAGAGAGGAGCAGAGATAGCAATAATAATGTAATAAGAAAAATAAGTCATGATTCAAGCTTCCTCTTAAGTACATTGGCTACAGAGCTAGCCAATCAGAATACAGTATGATCCAATACAGCATTACAATCTTAAAGCTATACATTACATTTTGACTGCAAACATGCATTGATCGTTTATATATATATTGCCAACCTAACCAGTTAGGCAATAGTCATTCCCTAACAGGCAAGAAAAATTGTAAAACGGGGCAAAACTCCCTTAACGAATTTCTCACCGAGCAACATAAATTTTGAGCTCAATTGTGGTCATAGGTTGAGGGCTCCCTGTACATACATGTGCCATGTGAGCAGGGCACATAAAATTCAATGGCCTTCTTTGTACCCTCACTTCGCACAGGGCACTGAATTGTATGTGCGTGGGGTGTATTCAGTGGTGGGTTTAGAAAATGCCACTTTGTTCTTTGAATTCTGCCGAGAAATTTTTCACGAACTGGTATGTTCCATTTTAGTAAAAAAAAAAGAAAAAGAAAAAGAAAAAAAAAGGGGGGGGGGGGCTGGGAACAAGAGTGCAACAAATGGTAATTTAGAAAATCAGCTTATTTTATCCTGCAAACCTGTTGTTTTGAAAGGGAAGGCACCCAGCCACACAATGGAAGGTTAATTTCACTGCTCTTTTATTCGGTATTAACCTTTTAAAACTGACAGCTGAAAGGACATGCTTCAAGAGAGAACGCAGCCGACTCCTAACAGCTTCTGACAGGTAACTTTCAACTCTCGTTTAGGTAAAAGAGTCTTTTCTTTTCATGTTATTTTATGTGCCCGTGCCCTTTAAAACAACCTGTCAAATTCACAAATTCAAACTTCACAGGCAGAAAATAAATTCAGTTTGATCTCATAGATCTAATATTGGTTTCTGTCACTCAGAATTTATGAACTCGGGCAAAAGGTTTTTTTCTCCCCAACTCTGTTTTGAAGTTTGTGGAGGGAACCTTTTCATTTTATTTTATTATTCATCTAGAATAGAGCCAGAATAGATGGTGAACAATTTCTAATTCTGAATCAAATATAAAAATCTGCACATTTTTCTGTTTGGCTGTCAACAATGCATTGGTAAAACAATATATCTAGATAAAGGCGGTTAAGTGAATCATTTGAGTTACCATGATTTGTTTAGTGACCACTGTAGCATGCCAACCGTCATGCAATCAATATTCGGGCAGGTGGGGATTGGCATGTATTTACAATGGTTATAGCATCCTGGGGTCATGTGATCGCCATTTGCAACTTTCCCAGCTGGCTTCCGACAAGCAAAATCAATGGGGAAATCTGGATTCACTTAAAAGAACCACGAACCAAGAGAACCAAAGCAAAACTCTGAGGCAGGTAGATTCCTCAAAGAATAGCTTTATTGGATATACTGTATCATATTGGCACAAAGGTCCCGTGTAAAAGTAAAAGTTTGTCACTTTCTCAAAACAGTCACATGGTCCAATCACAGCGCGGTCTGGTTGCCATGTGACATCGCTCCGCCTTCTTCCAACCGGGTGTCCTTGGTTCCCAAGAGAAAATATTTTGTTTTGGCTACAGAATCCCAACTATCTCAAATCCCCTATCTCTCCCTGTCCCTCAGCTCATGTGTGGCAACAGTGAAGCTATCAAAATGGCTTATTTATTTATTTATTGGTTCGATTTATATGCCGCCCTTCTCCGGAGACTCAGGGCGGCTTACAATGCGTTAAGCAATAGCCTTCATCCTTTTGTATATACCTGCTTAGTAGGGCTTTTGCCCGCCCCCCAAGCGGTGTTCTTTTTTATACAAAGTCAGCTTATTGCCCCCACAATCCGGGTCCTCATTTTACCCACCTCGGAAGGATGGAAGGCTGAGTCAACCTTGAGCCTGGTGAGATTTGAACTCGCAGTAATTGCAGGCAGCTGGCAGCTAAGTGCTACTTAACAGCACTTTAGTCCGCTGCGCCACCAAGGCTCCGGTAAGGGTCAGCTTCAGGGTTGACAAACTGCAGTGATTCACTTTAACTACCACGGCAAAAAAGGTGATAAAACCCGATGTATCTCATTTTACCTTGCTTAGCAGTGGAAATTCTGGTGCCAGTTGTGATTGTAAGTCAAAGACTACCTATGCAGGCTTGCTGAAATGAAAACATCTTCAGAGCCTTACGGAAAG